GTATCAGACCTCAGGATTGTGCTGCCTCCACTGCTCTTTTCCAATGCCAGGAAGTGGGACTTTAAGGGTGGAGCAGGAGGAAGCATGACTAATTCCAGCCTAGCTGCCAGCCCTCTGTGTCACAGTGCCTGGTAGTGGCAAAGGGGAACTAGCTAGAGCCCAGTGGATCTGAGCGGAGGGAGAGGATGTCTTGGGGAGGATTTGTTTTCTTTCCAAGCAGGATGCTTTGCCTGTTTGGCAGTGAATCATTTATTTCTTACATGTGCGTATTGGGTTTGCATGGCCACGTTCTCATAGCAGGGGGTCTACAAGGAGTGGCTTCTGTGAGAAGCTGTTAGAATCTTCCACCATGTCTGGTAAGCCGAAGCCAGCCAGCTGCAGGACAGACCTGCCACTGACTAAGGTGAGCCAATCAGGGATGATAGTAATGCCTCTGTGATAGCATATTTAAGAAAGTTAAAAAGTTATCATGCAGACGTAATTACGGCCAGAGAAGAGAGGAGTGAGAATATGTGAGAGGAACAGCTTTGCAGACATGGGGTTAGTGGAGAGAGGGGGGCAGGAGGTGATCCAGGTTCTGGAGCTGAGATTCCCCTGCAGCTCATGGTAAAGACCATGGTAAAACAGGCTGTCCTCCTGCAGGCCATGGAGGTCCATGGGGATGCAGAGATCCACCTGCAGCCCATGGAGGACACCCATGCCACAGCAGGTGGTTGCCTGAAAGCAAGATGTGAACCTATGGGAAGCTCACGCTGGAGCAGGCTCCTGGCAGAGACCTGCAGACCTGTGGATAGAGGAGCCCATGCTGGAGCAGGGGAAGGACTCTTTTTTCCCTGCACAGTGGCAGGAACAACCTGTGAAGAATTGACCATAACCCCCGTTCCCTATCTCCTTATACTGCTGGAGAGAAGAGGTAGAAGCTAGCAAGCAGGGAGGGGTGAGGGGAAGATGTCTTTAAGAATTATTTTACTTATCATTACCCTGCTTTAATTTTGCTAGTAAAAAATTCAGTTAATATCCCCAAGTTGAGCCTTTTTTGCCTATGACAGTATTTTGGTGAATAATCTCTCCAGGTCCTTAACTCAAGAACTTTCATTATAATTTCTGTCCCCTATCCAGATGAGAAGGGGAATGATAGAATGGCTTTGATAGCCTGGCATCCAGCCAGGGTCAACCAACTACAATGTGTTTGGAGAAGGAAAAGTTCCCTTGCTAAGCCCAGCCTGCTTTCTGCTTGCCCTGTGCTTAGTGCTCACAGGTTAAGAGGTTGTTGCATGGAGCAGTGCCTGGTGAGCTGCCTGTGCAAGAAGGCGGCCAGCACTGCTGTCATCTCCACACCCTTCCTCATGGGAGGCCTTCCCAAACTCTTGCATTCCCACCAGCTTCTTTGAGCAAGCTGAAGCAGGGCTGGCTCAGTGTGGATGCTGGGACTCTGCTGCCCTCCTCTGGGACAGCTAGGGCTCTCCATAGGAAGCAGCAGAGTACCCAGCCTGGCAGTCTGAGGAGCGCAGCCCTAGAGATATTTGATGTTCCTGTGCAAAGGGATTTCAGGACAACCCTACCTCGTATCTGCAGCCCTCTGGCCTGGCTTGAAGTGCTGCATTGGCGTGGCTTTGTTGCTTGTGCTCCTTTTGTACCTGGCTTGTTCTTGTGTCTGTTCTCTCTGTGCTGTTTCGAGCACTGAGACACCTCCTGGGGTCACTAAGAATAGCAGGGAGTTAGTTACAGGACCTCTGCAAGTACACCTAGAGCTTTTACATCTTAACCTGGAGTTTGATTGGCAGGTGGATGGTGGTGCAGAGGTCTTGATTTTTAAGCAGACAGGTTTTGCTCCTTCTTTAAAACAAAAACAAAAATTAAGCTTTTGTGGAATGAGATATAACTCTTATTTTGTTTGCTTTCCTTTGCAATTCATTTCCCAATACACACTCTGCTGTAGTGACACTGGATTTGTGCAGTGCAGGACAGAACTTTCATACCATCTTGCTCTGTGGACACTTGTTCAAGCCACTCTGTCACAAGGGCATGCACACACCTGGGCTGCTATTCTTTATAAAAGGACTGCACTGATGCCTTGGTTCAGGGAGCCTGAGGTGAACCAGAGGTGTGTTTGCCCTGCTTTCATTGTCATGGGATGTGACGTAGGTCTGTAGAACACTGGAGAAGCCAGTGGAGGGCTTGTGAGTACACCATTAGGGTGTGGGGACATAAAGAGCTATATCTGAGCCTGCCCAACGGTTGTACTGGGCAGGTGCAGAGGTGGCCTCCTTTCTCTGGCCACATAGCAGCCCAGACTTGGTAAGAACTGTGCTTTACCCAGGGCTCTGATTCCCAGGAAACCTTCTTTTCCTGTGAGATTCCTACTGCTTTTAGTCTGTAACAGGACTGTGTACTAGAGCACAAACTCCTTGGTACCACTTGTTTTTTATAGACTTGGTTTCCTTTGCTGAAATGTGAATTCCATCCCTCTCCAGGTGATTGTGCTGTTTGTATTTTAAATTGTTTGAGCCTCAGAGAAAAACCTGAATATCTCTTCTCTGTCTTGCTAGTTCCTGCTGATTTTCCACAAAGCTGCAGCTGGGGAACTTGAGGAGGACAGCGGCCTATTGACTCTTGCGAAGCTCTCAGAGATAGATGTGTCCATTGAGGGGGTCAAAGGAGCCAAGAACTTCTTTGAAGCTAAGGTATGGTGTGGCACAGAGGAATATGAAAAAACTCAGCTGCAGCTGAGTTTTCTTTCAAATTTTGTTGGACTCTTGCTAGAGCCTTTCTGAGGCTCAGTCAACACACCAGAGCAATGTAATTCACAGTCTGTGTTCTGGATCTTACCCTGGTAGAGCTGACTGGCTGACCTGTGTCTCTGTGGCTGGGACTAGGTTGCTGACCTCTTTTAAAGACAAAAGTGTCCTGAAAACTAATGCAATAAGGACAGTGTTTTCCCATTTTGCAAACCCTCCCTCAACCAGAACACTCTGAGTTTAGTGGTGAACGGAGTGTTTTGGAGTATAGGATTTCAGACATCTCTTTCTCTGTAACCTTTGGACTCAAAATCATTCTGCAGGGTCCTGGGGTTGGCAGAAAGAGCTGTACACCATCCGAAGCTGACAAAGCACCCTTTCTGAAAGCTCTGTTGGAGAGAAAATAATCCTGCTTGTTTATATAAGAAGTTTTTTCCCAAGAGCCTAACACAGCTATTGCACAGCAGATGTACTGAGATGAAAGCTGGAAAAATAGCCAGCAAGTAAACAATGTCTCTTTGATCTCCAGATTATCCATGGTGTAGTATGATGTTCTCAGATTTGGCTGTGATTCAGAGTGTTTTCTGCAGTAGTTTCTTCCACTGCATACTCACAGCCTATGCCCTGCTGCCTGCATATGGAAATAATATATGTGACCCAGAACTGATGGCCTTGTTTTGGTCACTTGCTAGTGACTTATTAGTAAGTGGCCTTTCTTTTATTGATGTTAAAGTCAAGGAAGGTAACAGGTATGGGGTGTAAATACCCAAGCACTGCAGTGTAATTAATACTTGAACTGTACTGACAGAGGATCCCAGCAAGCACTGGGAGGTACAGCAGGCAGTTCTGTGTTGCTCATCTGGGAGTAGCTCAGGTTTTGGCTCTCCCTCTGGTGCAAGGCTTGACACTTGTTTATTTTCTCTCTGTCTCATAAAGGCTCAAGCCCTCTCCTCAGCCAGTAAATTTGAAGCAGAGATAAAAGCTGAGCAGGATGAGCGAAAGCGGGAAGAGGAGGAAAGGAAGCACCGCCGAGCAGCTTTCAGGGAGTTAAAATCTGCATTTACCCAGTAACCAACCAGCCAATATGTGTTCTGAAATTGCACACAACTTGGTACGTTTCCCAGATCAGGGCTCTGACTTGGACAGAACTGTTTGGATCCTGCCTAAGACTCATCACAGCTTTGCTAGCCTTCCTTTCTTGAAGATCCTCCTGAACTCCTAAGGGCACAACTCTTACAGCTACTATGCATTCATAATGATGTGAATAGTAGGAGCTGTGTATAGGCTGTTTGCTCTGAACTGTTACAAGCACATCACCCTAAAGTAGAAACAGCAGGTAGCAAATCATGGGTGAGCACTGACAAGTGTCATGTTTGCTTACTTCATTATTTCCTATACATCCTTTTTCTCTTAATCCTGTATTAATTCATTCCTTGCTGACAGGCAAGTAGTGAGGTCTTGTGTAAATCAGGGTGTACAAAATACAGCTTGACTTCTGTATGTTTGTACTACTGTTGGGTGTTGTCACCCTATTCTTATTCCTCAAAGCCCCATGCCACAGGCACTGTGAAAACACTGTGAAGAGAGATAATTACTAGGGATATGGATCAAATTCACTTATCATTTCCTGTAGCATTTTCTGCCACCCAGCATGTTGAAGAGTCTTCCAGTTTCTCTTCTCTGAAGTGCCATAGTAACAAGCCCTTTGATAAGAGGCGAGATTTCCCAAGACTTAAAAGGGAAAAAGCTGGCTCTCTTAAACAAGGAATAGAAAACGGAGTTGCCTGACCATTTATCTTCTTTCACATTCCATCACATTTAGTGTACTGTACAGCTTCACTGTTATTTTCCAGCCTTAGGCAGCTGTATCTGTTTTTAGGGGGTATTGTCAGCTGGACAGTGCAATTGGATGGCACACTGGGGTTTTCTATTTGGAAATTTGCTCATAGCCTGAAACATGAAGGTGACACTGATTTCATTAGAGGTACAACAGAGGACACCAGCACAGCATACTGAGCAACCCCTGCTCAGAGAGGTGAGCGCATTTAACTGAACTGAATCTTGAGGGCTTGCATTATTCTATTAGCCATTTTCTCTTGGAAACACAGGAAACTTGACCACAAGTGTTGAGATACCCACTGCTTGTGTGGATATAAACATGGTCAGTCATGGCAGGGGAACTTCCCTCAGAGACCTCTCTAAAGACATAGATTTGCTCAAATTCTGCCTCTGCTATTGCCCAAATTTGTGGCAAAATGTTAATTTTTTTTTTTTCCAGGACAAAACTCACCAGTCATCTTTTCACTTAATCTGTTTTGCTTCTTAAACTGTGAGCACTAAACTGTGAGCATGGAATAATAAATAGAAAAACCTCTACTCTTTAATGTCAGGTGAAAGAATTGCTAAACGATTAAACTGTGTATATATCTTCACAGATTATATTTTATAAATCACGCTTTTTTAGCTAAATATTTATAATTAAATGTTTTTATACTTTACAACAAAGCAGGTAATTTCATCTTCAATTATTTCTCCTGTTGCTGAAATGTAAAAATAAAGCAGTTATCTCCAGTCTTGTCTGTGGTTTATTACAGGTCTTTGAATATAGTATTTTCACAAATTACAGTAGTAATCCCCAAAGCTTGTCATCCTGACTTGGATGAGTGGGAAAAGAATTCAACTCCTTCTTGGTAACACTTCCTGTTCTGCACAGCAGTTATGGTGTAAAAAACGTTCATGTTTGCATTTCCTCAGAAAGGGACATGGCTGTGTAAATACTTGAAATTCTGCCCACTGCTAAATGTTGACATCTGAAGGTTGTGAGCCTTTCCTTATCTTAAAATAGCCTCTGTGTCAGCCCCCATAGTGCCCCAGCTGGGAGCTGGGCAGGTCACTTCAGCTAGAATTCCCTTTGCACTTCCTGCTTCTGCCTTTTTTAAGGGAGAAAAAAGGAAAATACATGGATATCTGAAAACGTGTCTAAACATTTTGTTTCTACTATTGCTGATCTGCTAAGCTTTGCTGGCATGGCCACACTGAGGAGAGGGTTCAGGAAGAGGTTTAACCATGCCTCATTTCAGGTCCAGTGATGAAATAGAAACCATAAATATTTTATCCCATGCAGCTCTGCTCTGTGCTAATACATTCACTGTGTCTATGAGTCCTCAGGTCTCAGAGGTCAGGTAAAATCAGGGTAAAGGTTCCTTAGTCCCTGTTTTCCCAGGAAAATTGTGACACTGCAGCTCTTGATTTTTGTGGGGTTTTTTGTTTTTTTTCTTTACAACATAGCAAGCACTGCTGAGTTGTGCTGCTTTGCATGTGCAGCTGGCTAAAGAGCACAGGACTGCAGGAGAGGAGAGTGGAAAAAGGCTTTCCAGTTGTTTTAATAGAACTGAGTCAACTGACAAGTTTCAGTAAGGAAATGAACATTGTCTCTGGTTTTGTTCAATTCAAATAGGTGCTGTTAGTTGGAATCTGCATTCAGTGCAGTGAGCAATAAGTGCTTTTGCATGTGCATTTATTTGGAAGTTGCAGCAATGTGTGTTTTGAAATTAGCTTTGCTAAAATGGACATTGGGAAATGAATTGCTTTCTAAATTGTTCTGTTTTACTGGCAATTATTAGACTGGGTAACAGTGTCATTAGGTTATGCATAAGTACTAAAGAGTTGTGTAGCTGTATTTCCCACCTAAAACCATGTGACAACACTTGGTTGTATTTACCTGTAATTTGTGTATTACAATCCTTGATTCTCTGTCCTTTTATGCCTGATGTCACCACAGGTGGTTCTCAAAGGTCCTTACAATCCCAGTTCTCTCTAGTGATGTCTGCTGGTACATTAATGCCTGTCTGGTATTTCTGATGTGCCCCAAGTGACTCAAGTCTGTGATGGCAAGTAGAGGAGCTTGATGAAAAGCCTGTTGCACTTAGTGGTCTTCCTCAGAAGGGACAAATACTTGCTTCCAGTCACTCATCTAGAATGGAAAGTTCAGGTAGTCTTTGATCCCTGAAGGGTTTTTGTTTCACATTTCCCAGAGTAGGCAAAGTACAATGGAGGAGTCACTAGCACTTCAGCCAGCATAGAGGGTGGGTTCAGCCTGTCTGGATGCTCAGATTGCAGTGGATTTCTCAAGGATGCTCCTGTCATAGTCATTGCCATTGGCTGCAGGGGACAGCTCATGGCAGCAGGAAGTCTCACCTGAAGAGGTCGGTGTGGTCACAGTGGAGAGAAAGAGATGGTGTGATCAAGCTCCTCCTGGCTTAAGGTTCAGGGTTTATCTGTGAGGATTAAGGTGACAAAATAACATTTTAACTTTATGGGAGCATCCAAATAAATCCAAGACATCTAAAAGTAATTGAGTGTTGCAGAAGTAGCAGCTTGTTTGTGGTATTCTGTCTTTCAGCACAAGCCACCTGAGGTGACAGATGCATTGAAGTGACTGACTAAAAACCGCAGTTGGCTGTTTGCCTGCTTTGCTGCCATTATTTTTAGGGATGTAACAAATGAGGACATGGAAAACAGGCTGCTGAGAATACATTGACTCTTCCCAGACAAAATCACTGGTTATTTCAACAAAAAGGGGAACTTCTTCAAGTAACAATGCAGAAATGGCAAGGGGAAACATGATTATGGCACATCTTTTTGGGCTGCTTTGTGATCATTATTTATCATTTCAAAGCTGTGTTCTTTGTTCTTAACTCTACCACTGTACTGAGGGAGGTGGGCTCTTGCCTCCAAGTCAGAATGGCTGAAAACAAGGGGTTAGGAAGGAAAGTTTATCGTTTGTTTCCCTGCACTGGGTTTTTAATAGTGTGGATGAATTGGCACAATAATCCAGAATTCTGAAGTACATAATGCCCTTGGTACCCAGACTGGCTGCTGGGGTGATTTCACACCTACACAATATCAGCTGACATTCTGTCATTGAGCCATGCAGGAATTTTACCACACGGGTACAGTCTTGAATTTTCATGAGATTCTCCCTGTTCTGCTTGAATGAATTGTGGAAGATTTAAGATGCATCTGCTATCACCAAAAGATTGTCATCTGAGTTCCCTTAAGGTATTTTACAAAAATGCCAAGTTTTGCAGATGAGGCATGTTTCAGAGGATTCTTGAAATTTTATTTTTTTTTTTGTCTCAGTAATATAATGTTTGTGCTAACTGGGATAAAAAAAATTCTACAAGTGCTAAGTATCTCCCATCTCAGATAAAGGCTGTCTTAGAGCATGTGAAAATATTTTTGAGTGCTCAAACTCACATTTGATAAGTAGAATAACAAGGCACAGCTGCTTCTGCAATGAAATTGGAAATTCTCACTGACAGCCTGAAATGCAGCACTGCCTCCCTCCCTCCCTTTATCATTATTAGTATTGGCTCAAGCTGTGTGACAACAACCAGGGGGATTGAATGCAGCTTATCAGAGGCCAGCCCTTTTCTAGGGAGCTTTGCTTTTCCATACCAGTCTCCTAATGGAGAAATTCCATTCTAAGGTTTTCGGGTGAGGTAGTCCTATGTAGCTCTAAGCTAAAAATAAACCCCAAGAATTACAGGCTTTCAGCCCATTAGCTCGTAAAAATCACTAGTATTCACTTTTGCATCATTTTTGGCTGTCATTCAGTACACAATGACAAGTATTTATTCACCTAGAAGAGGATGGAGAAAGCTACATTCGTTGTGGCTGACATCATGATTAGAGTGAAACTGTTTCAGCTGAAAACGGCTATACCTTCAGCAGTGCCTAACATCCAAGAATAGTTTTTTTACTACTGGCTGAAGGAACCACATGGGGCTATTCTGCATCATGTACTAATATGGGTTTGGGGACTAAAAATAAACTGGTATTTTTAGCTGGAGAAAGTTTGCCTCGAGCTCCTGATTTTTCCATCAGAAGAGTTAAAATATGTATCATCTAATGCCCTTTTTCTGTCAGCAGCAGCTGCCGCTGCCTTCCAGGGTGACCCCCACGGCAAAGTGTCCTCGGGGCTTCTCCCGGGCGAGAGCAGGTCCAGCCCTCGGTGCCTGGGCACTGTGAGTGCTCACACACGGTGGCTTTTCACAGAGTTTTTTGTGGCCACCGATAAAGCTGAATTGCCCCATGGAGCCACGCAGAGGAAACAGATAAGGCTGGGAGCCCACACTGCGCTGCTGAGGCTGCCTATGTGTATGTGTGTGTGTGTGACAGGGGTGGAAGGGTAGCAGAATCACCGAATCATTCAGGTTGGAAAAGACCTCCGAGATCATCGAGTCCAATCTGACTGATCCCCACCTCGTCAACCAGACCAGGGCACTGACTGCCACGTCCGGGCGTTCCTTAAACACCTCCCTAAACAGCGACTCCACCACATCCTTTGACAGCCCCTTCCAATGTCTAATCACCCCTTCTGTAAAGAATTTCTTCCCAGTGTTTAACCTAAACCTGCTGCAGCTTAAGGCCATGTCCTCCTGTCCTGTCGCTCGTTCCCCGGGAGCAGAGCCCAAGCCCCTCCCTGCGGCTGCACCCTCCTGTCATAGGGAGCTGCGGAAATCAAGAAGGGCCCCCCGATCCTCCTTTTCTCCAGGCTGAGCCCCGCCCCCAGCTGCCTCAGCTGCTCCTCTCGGACTGGCGACCCTTCCTCAGCTTCTCAATGGCTGGGGAATTGACCCATGCTCCAGCCTCTTAATATCCTTCCTGAATTGAGAGGCCCAAAACTGAACACAGGGCTCAAGGTGTGGCCTTACCAGTGCCAAGTACAAGGGGACCTGACGCAGTGATTTGATTACCGGGGGGTTCGGGCAAGGCGAGGGGCTCCATCTCCCCTCAGAGCTGTGAAGGGGAGGCGGTGGCGCTGCGGCGGGTTCGCGCCTCCAGCAGGGGGCGCTGGAGGCCCGCCCCCGCGGTGACGTCACACAGACAGTGGGCGGGAAGCGCCGCTGTTCATCCGGGTCCCGCGGCGGGGCCTGGGGGCGTGGCCTCGCCCTCACGT